TTCAGGAATGCGACAAGAAATTCCAATGGTCAGCTGTATCACAATATGACATCCGTTTTAGACTGAAATTAGGGGCCGCAAAATCATTTGCGTTTGGTAATTTGGATACATTCTTATATACCACTATATTAGACGCATCTGCAGTCAAACATGTTGCCATTAAGTGTTACAGGTGTAAAGGAGATCATCAAGTGTCTAAATGTCCATTTCTCGAGACGAATAAGGTGGAGACGGCGGAGAAAAATGAGAAACCGAAAGGCACAGGAAATATTAGTGGAGAAATTTGTAACAAATTCCAAACTGGAGAATGTACTTTCGGAAATCGTTGTTTTAGAAAACACGTCTGCAAAAATTGCAAAGTTGGCCTGTTGCCATACGCCAAATGTGATTGTTCAAAGTAAAACAGAGATAAGTCCCTATAATCCTTTGAATGTTGAATATTTCGAAAACAAGTTGAAATCTCATCCTGATCGTGAATTTGTAAATAATATAATACAGGGTGGTACATTTGGAGTTAATCTTGGCTACACAGGACCTCGGGGTCCAAGAATTCATAAAAATTGGAAATCAACACAAATATATAGCGAAGCCGTGGAGGCTAATATACTCAATGATTTGAAAATAGGTCGTAAAGCGGGACCGTTTATCACACAACCTTTCTCTAATTTTGTCGGCTCCCCGATGGGCGCATACGCTAAAAAGCGCTCGGTTCCTGTAAAGTACAGGATTATACATGATTTGTCATGGCCTCCAGGTGGCGCTATAAACGATTTTATCTCAAAAGAAGATTATTCGTGCTCATATGTATCGGTTGACAACGCTATAACCTTAATTAAAGCCCATGGGCGTGCTAGTTTGATGAGTAAAATCGACCTAGCAGACGCTTTTAAACATATTCCAGTGAGACAAGCTGACTGGGAACTATTAGGTACGACATGGGAAATGATCGATATGGATAGCGGTGATAAAGTAATGGTGTATATAGTAGATTTAGTTTTGCCGTTCGGTTCCAGAAGTTCACCTAGAATATTCTCAGATTTTGCGGACGCTCTACAATATATTATGATAAACAATGGCGTTAGTTCGTGTATACATTACTTGGATGATTATTTTACGTGTGGACCCCCTGAATCGGATATGTGTAATAACAATTTGAATATTATGTTAGAAACATGTGAAGATGCCGGTTTCACAGTTAACAAAAAGAAAACTATTTTACCAACATCGAAGTTAGAGTTTCTGGGAATCGAGATAGACTCGGAAGTTCTCGAGATGAGGATTACAAATAACAGATTGGTAGACATTTTAGATGAGCTTAAAGCGTGGCGATATCGTCAAAAAGCGTCGAAAAGAGATATCCTGTCTTTGATAGGAAAACTTAACTTTATATGTAGACTAGTGCGCAGTGGTAGAACGTTTCTACGAAGAATGATCGATCTATCTACTTCAGCGAAATATCTGCATCATAAAATTAAACTGAATAAATCGTTCAGATCTGATATTCAATGGTGGCTGTATAATCTCCCAAGATGGAATGGGATTTCCGTATTCTACGAAGATCAATGGACCACGAACACACAGTTAAAGCTATTCACAGACGCATCTGAAAAATCCTATGGAGCATATTTCCAAGGAGATTGGCTTAAAGGATCGTTCGCCCAGGAAGATTCCCATCAAAATATCACATTGAAAGAACTTTACGTTATTGTTGTAGCAATAGCTACGTGGGGAAAACAGCTTTGCCAGAAAAGGATTATAATCAGATGTGATAACGAAGCCATAGTACATGTGGTTAACTCAGGAACAAGCAGAAATAAACACTTAATGTCACTAGTCAGAGCTTTATTCTTCTATTGTGCCTCAGTCCAATGCGAATGTAGATGCGTGCATATAGAGGGACAAAAGAATATATTAGCCGATGCGTTAAGTAGAGACCAAATGGACAAGTTTTATAAGTTCGTGTCATCAAACGATACGAGGCAATGGGAACCAGTAAATATTAAAGTATTTTACTGAATACAAATCATGAGAACAAAAGCTTACCATAGTATTTTATCATATCATATATACCAGTCACCTTTAGATTGATACAAAAAATCAATCGAATTTCACTGTACGCCATCAGGCAATATAAACGAGTATTGTTGAATGTATGCTCATACTTGTAAATAGTTATTTTTTATACATATGTAGAGATAGACTAGTTAATCGTATTAATGTTAATAAATATTTATTTTGTCAGGGTCTTTGGACTGTCAGGAACTAAAGAAAACGGCTCAAGATTTGGTAAGAAGAGGATTACGTCCTGCCACTAGAAAGACATATTCATCAGGTCAAAAATCTTTCATGGAATTTTGTGATAAAGCCAATTTAGAATGTCTTCCAGCATCAGAAGAATGTCTTTTAATGTACATAGCATATTCTTATGAAAAGAAACTAAGGCATGGCACAATCCTCAATTACTTATATGCAGTGAGATCCATGCACCTTGAGCACGGGTTCAATGATCCTTTAGAAAAATCTTTTAAAATAAAAAGAGCACAACAAGCTGTTTTAATAGAACAAAATAATTCAGGAGATAGCGTTAATCAAAAGATGCTATTACAGCTGATGTACTTTTTCAACTATTTCAAATACATGATTTTAACAGCATAGATCAACTGATGTATTTTACTGCATTATCAATTGCATTTTTTGGACTTTTACGATGCTCTGAATTGATAAATCTGACATTAGATGATATAAGTGTAGTAAGAGATGAAAATTGTGAGTCAGACAAACATATGGTAGTCAAAATACGAATTTCAAAAACAGACCCAATTGGGAAAGGTCTAGAAGCAGTTATAGCATGCACAAAGCAACCTATGTGTGCGGTGTGTTCTACTGAAATGTACATTAGTCGTCGTAAGTCAGATTCAAATGCACTTTTTGTTCTGAGTAATGGACAACCAATAGATAGAAAATGTTTCATATCCCATCTTAAGGTCTCCATGGCAGTTTTAGGGTATAACCCAGCAAAATTCTCTGGTCATTCTCTTCGTAGCGGGGGAGCGACCACAGGGGGTAATGTAGGCCTTAAAGATTGGGAAATAAAAGCTATCGGTAGATGGAAAAGTCAATGTTATCAGAGATACATTAGAATACCCAAGGAAACCCTTTGCAAATTATCGGCAAAATTGACAGAACATTAATGTTTAATTACATGTTGTAGCCTTTAAATTGTATAGATATCCATGGCTATGTATCTTAATATTTTGTACTTATGATAGATCTATCAGTGGTGATTAGTGTTTACGCGTAAAACGCATAGTGTATAATGTTATATCGTCGTTTGGGCGGCTGTTGGGCTGTTTTTACAAGTTCAAATAAAACTGTTGAAATAAAGCATCCGCTCATTTTAGCCCAAACGACGTGTTTTTGTTTAATTTGTGTTTTGTTCCTGGTGATGGAGGACATTAATGATTATTTACAAAGTAAATAGTTTTTAATAGCATAGCGACATCTTTATTATCTTACTATAACTGATTATTAGCGCATGCGCATGTACATTCGATCGATTTACACTTAGTCATAGTTGATCGAGTAAAGCTTTTTCAACTGCTACAAAATAAAATAAAATCACCAATGAAATTGCAACAGAACGAAAATATCAAATTAGTAAAGAAATGACAATAGATGATTCTGAAATTACAATAGACTCTCATTCTCCAATAGTGTCCACCAGTGAATCTAAGATGATACCCCAAAAGCCTAAACCAAAGACCAAAGCCTAAACTGGAACTTTTCCTCAGTCCCATCCACATAACTCTGTCATTTAATAGAGATAACAGCATGGTATTTATTACACACTTTGTAGAGTGTCTCTAAATTTTTGCATTCGAATACATACAATTCTAAAATTCTCAAGCCAATCACCTAAATAGACCTAGGTTGGAAATTGATTAATAAATCTATTGAATATTGAACTTTAGAGGAGCTTTCCCCAATACCTGTAATTTATATATGACCCAAGTTAGCCACCTCGTGGTGAAACTGGGAACTGACTACTTGCATCTAATGAAGGTTATTACGTCATTACAATTTTACATAACTTATTGATACCTTGCTTCAAAAGAATGATTTAACTCCCTAATGAAATAGATAATGTACAATTCAGATTGTATATTTCATAAGTTTATTATGAGACCCCATGTCCAAAACAAGCACAATCATGACAATGGGCGATATAGTGACATGGAAATGTGAATTTCATGATGGTAAAATGGAAGCCCAAGACCCTACATGTACCTAAGTATAAAAAATTAAAGTGAGTAAAAATGTTCTATTATATATTGTTTTTTGATATTTTAAAGCTTTTTAAATAAAATAACACATATTATATCGCATTTATATCTTTACATCGTAAAATCAATCACATATACGAAAAATGGTCAAACTGATATATATTTCTCAAAGCATATTATTAATCACATTTGTGTGTGTCAAACAAACGATAAACATATTTCTTGGGATATTGGTGTTGGATAGTCTGAAAGTATAGTTTATCCCGTTCAATAAAATCTTCCATTACAAAAGGTTGGAAAGATAAACAAAAATAAAGTCATAACCATCATTCATATAGACAGGCTTAACACGTGATTGAAAGGGTACTTCCTGTTTCCAAACCTTTGGTGGGGATGTTTATCTATTTATGCTTCAGTGTCATATTTACAAGTGATTGTGTGAATCCTCAAATGTCCCAATTGTTTACATCATCTGAATCAGATTCAACGTTGGACATGTACGTTCCATGACCCAACTTTAAAATTGTTATTCTTGTATCTAAGATGTTCTTCCAGTTAAATGCTTATTGAATTTGGTATTTTGCTTGGATTTAGATGTGCATAAACATTCTCTCTGGTTGCCTGGTTCTCTATTATCACTCTGTCAATCGCTGCAAGGTCCTTGCGGAAGCTGAAAAGATAAATATATTATCTTATACAAGGTTCAGGATATGGGGATTATGCATTAGGTATTTTGCTTGGATTGAGATGTGCATAAACATTCTCTCTGGTTGCCTGGTTCTCTATTATCACTCTGTCAATCGCTGCAAGGTCCCTGCGGAAGCTGAAAAGATAAATATATCATCTTATACAAGGTTCAGGATATGGGGATTATGCATTAGGTATTTTGCTTGGATTGAGATGTGCATAAACATTCTCTCTGGTTGCCTGCTTCTCTATTATCACTCTGTCAATCGCTGCAAGGTCCTTGCGGAAGCTGAAAAGATAAATATATCATCTTATACAAGGTTCAGGATATGGGGATTATGCATTAGGTATTTTGCTTGGATTGAGATGTGCATAAACATTCTCTCTGGTTGCCTGCTTCTCTATTATCACTCTGTCAATCGCTGCAAGGTCCTTGCGGAAGCTGAAAAGATAAATATATCATCTTATACAAGGTTCAGGATATGGGGATTATGCATTAGGTATTTTGCTTGGATTGAGATGTGCATAAACATTCTCTCTGGTTGCCTGCTTCTCTATTATCACTCTGTCAATCGCTGCAAGGTCCCTGCGGAAGCTGAAAAGATAAATATATCATCTTATACAAGGTTCAGGATATGGGGATTATGCATTAGGTATTTTGCTTGGATTTAGATGTGCATAAACATTCTCTCTGGTTGCCTGGTTCTCTATTATCACTCTGTCAATCGCTGCAAGGTCCTTGCGGAAGCTGAAAAGATAAATATATCATCTTATACAAGGTTCAGGATATGGGGATTATGCATTAGGTATTTTGCTTGGATTGAGATGTGTATAAACATTCTCTCTGATTGCCTGGTTCTCTATTATCACTCTGTCAATCGCTGTAAGGTCCTTCCGGAAGCCGAAAAAATATATACAGAGTGTCCCGAAAGTATGCCCCCCCCCTAGGCAGACATATTCCAGTGTCCTCATAGTATGTGTCATATATCATTTTAAAGCTTATCCAAAGTTACATTGATTCACCAAGTATCATGGTTTAACTCCAAAATGGGGAAAAGTTACAGTCATTTTAAAAGTTAGCGTTTTATCAAAATAAAGTTCAATTTTACACCACATTACGAGTCAATGAGTCCCCCCTTGGAACAGCCGCAATTATTTTCAAATATGACCTTAAAAGCCCTTCAAATAGGGGTGTGGAATTTCATAACCCTCTTAAAACCTGCTAAGGTGCTTTAGAAGAGTTTCCTTTGAGTTTCTACCCTCACCGTTCTCTTTTTCCAACTCATTATCCATCCGACCCGAAAAGAATTGCTGCTGTTAAGATGGCCCAGGAGGACACATTGACTAGTGATTTGGTGTAAAATTGAACTTAATTTTGACCAAACACTAAATTTTGAAATGCCTGTAATTTGTTCACATTTGAGAGTTGAACCATGATACTTGGTGAATCAATGTAACTTTTGATAAGCTTTAAAATGATATATGACACATACTATGACGACACTGGTATATGTCTGCCTAGGGGGGCCCCATACTTTCGGGACACCCTGTAGTGTGGGAAAATTGACTATGTGTCCTGTTATAGTTTTCACTGGCCGAGTAGTGCATGTCAAGCCAACAATGCAATTAAATGTAAGGGAGCTGTGCTTTTAAGGACATTGTATAGCAATCCGTCATGCGCAAAATAGATGCACGTTATACTTGTGTCGTCTCGAATTGATTGACAGCGTAATTTTCATCAATTTCCAACTGGATTTACTACCACGCTAAGGGTAAATTACATGTAATGTTTATCACCGTATTAATTGTCATATCTCAGCGATGCAATGATGCGTTTATAATTTAAAGGTAGAGTGTAGATTTTGTATATTTCTGACGCATCTTTTGAAAACATTTTCCGCTTACGGCAGCCATATTTGAATTTGCGAACGTAGTAAAACCTAGGTCATGCTAATTACGGTTTCATGTTTTAATGTAAACTTTACGTAAAGTACGAAGTATTCATATACATTTAGTGTGTTTATTATGTATTAGCCTGGGTTTCTTTATTTCAAAAAGAGGCAATATAACTTGTGGTCAAATTCATGTTTTGGCGGGAGTTTAGGGGAAAAATTTGCCGTGATTTACAATTTGTAAACCCCTATACGCCATGTTTTTCCTAGTTAATCAATGGCCAATGGCAGGGGTGTGTTGAATTTTGTACTTTTTAAATTATGTAAGATATTTCAATAATGGCTGCCCATTATTTGCATATATAATTTCTCCTGAAATTAGATATTTTTGGCATCCAAATTAAATCAATAAAAAACTTAATTTAGTTAATTAGTCAGTTTTATTATATACCTCAAATGTATTCTAGATGCTCTTTGGTTTATTCATGGTCACATGACATGGAATAGATGAACTAATTCCCTGGAAAGTCCTAAATCCCTGCTTTCAGGGAAGATGAATTGTACTAATCACCAGTTAGGTCATGTGACCAGTCAATAGTACATTTTAGGAGTTGAAAGGTAAAATGCCTTTAAATGCCAATAAGAACCTGTGAACATTTGATATTGAAATGAAAAGACTTCTCATTTTGTTTTTGTTTACAGAGTACTTATCAGGTATATAATAAAACAAATAGTGACTGCCACATTTTCGGGAAATAGTGTAAAAATTTTCCTCTCGGGAATATCCTGTCCACTGACTTGTTCCCTCGGCCTGCAGCCTCGGGAACATGTCAGTGGACAGGATATTCCCTTGAGGAAAATATTTTGCACTATTTCCCTCAATGGCAGTCACTATTTGTACAATATTCATTGAACAAAAGCTTACAAACAATGCATTGCCGGTGAATAATATTCCCAGCATTCCACTAAAGTGACGTCATTATCAGACGATAAAATGACCGCCGCTAGCACTAGCCGTTTCAAAAATGTTGAAGATGAGGATATTATTAGTCTCTTAGAGAGTAAAGACAGTCAAAATACGAAGAAAAATCTAAAACTTTGTACAAAGCTTTTAGTGGACTTCGCCCAGGAGAGTAATTTGACTCCATTGAGTGAACTTACTGCCGTGGCAGATGTAGATACAACATGAACGTCTCGAGGGTCTGGATCCAACTTCAAGTCAACTTCAAGGGTCAGAAAAATCTAAGATATTCTTCGGACTAACAAAACAATTATAGACCTCTCCATTCGGTTTACTGTCAAAATTATATCCCGAGACTGTAAACCGAGACCTACGGTCTCGGTTTACAGTCTCGGGATATAATTTTGACAGTAAACCTCTGGAGAGGTCAATAATTGTATATTGTAAATTGTTAGCTCCTGAAGAAGGATCATTTGGAGGTACTAACGACGGTAGTTAGCCTATTGCAAAAGGAGAGTAGAAATTAGATATTTTGGAGTCAACTGATACGTTTATATGGAATTAAGTCTTTGATTCCGAAGATCATTTGAGATTAGAAGATCATTTTCGATACTTGGGATTATTTGAGATTGAGACATTTGTGATAAGTTTGGATTATAAGCATTCCCTTTGATCTTTAAGAAACATGATCTCCGAGATTACTGAAACTTTGTGGGACTATTTGTAATTATTCGATTCTTTGAGACTTGATTGAGGATCACGCTCATTCAGTGGAATTTTAGAACTTTATGATTAATTTGTGAGAATCAATAGAATAGAAACACTCCCAAAATCTTTAGTTTATGCTATGTGGAGGAGTTGAAGGGGCCTAAGCCATTTTGTTACGTCTTGTGATTGACACAGCGACGTATACCAGTCATACGTCACCCACTCTAGGATTTAACAAAAAAGTATACCCAACTTTAAAACCAAATAAATACAAAGGTAGTAGTAAAAAGCCTGATTTATTCCCCATCAAATGGTACCAAGATCATCATGTAACTCTCATGTTTGACTGAGCAATCTTGACCATTACGAGAGGTGGTAAAATTAGCACTGTGCCAAGTTACCTTACTGTGTGGCAATTGATGTGTAATTGGCTTAGTATTCTTTTTTCTGTTGCAATAAGTTAGATGACAGGCCTTCCATACTGAACAGAACTTGGGACTGAGTAACTCACATATGAAAAAAGGTTTGGCAAAAAGCTTAACTTCTAAAATAGGCCTGCAAAATGGTTCAACTGACACCTGAGCAGTAAGAACCAACAAAAAGTTCTAAAAAGCAAGTCTCATGTACTGTTTATAGAACCCCTATTCTTACTATTGAAATAGATTCTAGCAATACTGTCCCATATGAATCTACTTGTTTAGACTCAATAAACTTGAGTTCTCTTCAGAAAAAGAGGATTTCAGCAAGGGTTATTGACTTTACATGGGGGTACAATTGACTTCGAAGCTGCATATCGTCAAGTAGAAGTTACATTGCTCATCAAAAGGCTCTTCGGATCCAATTTCTTGAGAGGGAGGTACAAACAAAAAGTTACGAAACAAGTTTGAATTTGAACATTAATAATGTTTTGAACACAAAAAACATCCACTTTGTCATTCTTACTTGAATGCTAACTTGGCACAGTGCTGATTTTACCACCTTTCATAAAAGTCACGATTGCTCAGTCATCCATGACAGTTACATAATGATCTAGGTACCATTGGATGGAGAACAAAATAGGCCTTTTACTGCTACCTTTGTATTTTAAAAAAAATGCTCAGAATTTTAGTATCCTGGCTTTGAAGTTGGGTATACTTTTTTGTGGACGGCCTGTATTTTGATCGGTTGAATTTGCTCCGTGAAGTTGCTGTTTTCTAGTTCTAGGCTCGGGATAATCTCAATATCCTGAGCCTCGTATAGGATAATGTCTATATAAATACATACGTCTCAAGAGCCTGTAGCAGGATAGGATCATATCCATATTGCATCTCAAAATCTCCCAAATGTCTCGTGTCCATGCCACTAAGTAACGTTGTTATCAACATTGTATCATATGTCTGTTCTTTAGTGGGAAGCGCTTGCACGAGATCCTTCTCCGATTTTGGCTCCTGAAGTAATTAAAATAGAAAAATTAAAACCATTGTCGTTTTCGTTTCAAATCGAACTTTTTAGAAAACAATATGTGGGTATCAACGATCTTTTCAAACTATGCATGGGTCTTTAAAGGTTATACTTTTCCTGTTTGAAAGTCAACATGATTGCAGTCCCCACGAAAGTCTGACCTCCGGATGTCGCAACCAGGTCTTTTAATTTTTGGTAGTTTTGGCAATTCATTCTCATATATTTATGACCCATTGGAACTCCGAAACGAAATTAAATTTTAAATATACTCAGGCACGTGAATACCAAACCTTTAAAGGGGCATGTTGGTATGTTGTACCTTATTTGTGGGGGGCTGGCCATCCATAAATCCTGGGTAGTTTGGTGGGAAACCATATTCTTCGTATTGATTAAAGTTGATTGCTGCATGTTGTACAGTTGCTTGAAAGATCAATGGCGTCACTATACAGGAGATGTCGTCAACCGTTGCTATAGTTTCAGGCAACCCCTGAAATTAAAAAAAACTATTTTGAATACAAAATATTCCAAAATGCTGTTGACCTAGTTCCAATCCATGATTCTTAAAAATGTTGACCTACTTTCAATCCCTGTTTCTTAAAAATGTTGACCTACTTTCAAACCATGATTCTTAAAAATGTTGACCTACTTTCAATCCATGATTCTTAAACATGTTGACCTACTTTCAATCCATGATTCTTAAACATGTTGACCTACTTTCAATCCATGATTCTTAAACATGTTGACCTACTTTCAATCCATGATTCTTAAACATGTTGACCTACTTTCAATCAATGATTCTTAAACATGTTGACCTACTTTCAATTCATGATTCTTAAACATGTTGACCTACTTTCAATCCATGATTCTTAAACATGTTGACCTACTTTCAATCCATGATTCTTAAACATGTTGACCTACTTTCAATCCATGATTCTTAAACATGTTGACCTACTTTCAATCAATGATTCTTAAACAAATTGACCTACTTTCAATCCAAGATTCTTAAACATGTTGACCTACTTTCAATCCATGATTCTTAAACATGTTGACCTACTTTCAATCCATGATTCTTAAACATGTTGACCTACTTTCAATCCATGATTCTTAAACATGTTGACCTACTTTCAATCCATGATTCTTAAACATGTTGACCTACTTTCAATCCATGATTCTTAAACATGTTGACCTACTTTCAATCCATGATTCTTAAACATGTTGACCTACTTTCAATCCATGATTCTTAAACATGTTGACCTACTTCCAATCCATGATTCTTAAATATGTTGACCTACTTTCAATTCATGATTCTTAAACATGTTGACCTACTTTCAATCCATGATTCTTAAACATGTTGACCTACTTTCAATCCATGATTCTTAAACATGTTGACCTACTTTCAATCCATGATTCTTAAACATGTTGACCTACTTTCAATCCATGATTCTTAAACATGTTGACCTACTCTCAATCAATGATTCTTAAACATGTTGACCTACTTTCAATCCATGATTCTTAAACTTGTTGACCTACTTTCAATCCATGATTCTTAAACATGTTGACCTACTTTCAATCCATGATTCTTAAACATGTTGACCTACTTTCAATCCATGACTCTTAAACATGTTGACCTACTTTCAATCCATGATTCTTAAACATGTTGACCTACTTTCAATCCATGATTCTTAAACATGTTGACCTACTTTCAATCCATGATTCTTAAACATGTTGACCTACTTTCAATCCATGATTCTTAAACATGTTGACCTACTTTCAATCCATGATTCTTAAAAATGTTGACCTACTTTCAATCCATGATTCTTAAACATGTTGACCTACTTTCAATCCATGATTCTTAAACATGTTGACCTACTTTCAATCCATGATTCTTAAACATGTTGACCTACTTTCAATCCATGATTCTTAAACATGTTGACCTACTTTCAATCCATGATTCTTAAACAAATTGACCTACTTTCAATCCATGATTCTTAAACATGTTGACCTACTTTCAATCCATGATTCTTAAACATGTTGACCTACTTTCAATCCATGATTCTTAAACATGTTGACCTACTTTCAATCCATGATTCTTAAACATGTTGACCTACTTTCAATCCATGATTCTTAAACATGTTGACCTACCTTAATCCCAGGACCAACCGGAGGTGTCCTCAATTCATGAACCCATTTATGCAGCTCGTAGTCGTCAATGATCTTTTCCGGAGAGTCATATATACCAGCTACGACTGCCTTGACATATTTCTCTATGGCTCCATACACGAGAAGAGCGTCGTCCCTATAGTGGTAGTGGGGAAGGGCGTTAACGTCATCCACCTGAAGATAAAAGACGATTACCCAAATGCGAGTAGGTAGTTACCAGTTTCACCACCAGATGGCTGATTCGGGTCAATTAACATGGCAGGTATACAAGAAAGTTCCCTTAAACTTGAATATTATCAATTTAAGTGGCTCAATTTTCATATAACCCTTATGCGTCTGATACTTAGTACTATACTAATGAAAATATGTCCAGTAAAGCAAAATATTATCTGTCTACTAAAAGAAAAGATATTTCATTTTTTGTGATTTTATAGCATGGGGTCTATGGGGAATCTCCCCGAGCTAGAAGTCACATTTTCAAAGAAAATTAATTTTTCAAAGTTGATAAACACTTTTTAAAACCACATTTCTAGATGTTATTCTACATGTAGATTTCAAATATGATATTACGTTGACTGAATTTTGAATTTTTAATGACGTAAATCAAGATTATTTCTACTCGCATCTGGGTTATTGAAAGAACGATTGAGAAAATAAATTTTGACGTCACCATCTACGGTTAATTGATTCTTTGGTCGGGATTTGTTGGAATTGCTTTTCCTTAAGTTATGATTCTTTCATACTTTTAAAGTTTTCCTGCTTTTTGCCACACCGAGCATACAATTTATCTAATTACAATACAACATCAATGACTTACATCGTGTCAACATACAACGTCAAAAATACTAGCGTAGAGTACTTCGTAATACGTTGACAAAACCAACTGCTTTGTAATGAAAAATATGGATCTGTTTTTCAAAAAATAAATTAAATGGGTTTGACTGACTAGGAGATGATAAAGATTAACATTACTTTAGTCATCCCTTTTGAAGCAATGACCATGCACCAAAATGGCGGATATGTCAACGAACTAGGCGTACAATGGTTCTACACAGTATGTTGATGGCAAGCATTGAATGAATATGATAACTTGAAATCTAGTACTAGTATTTGATTTGAATATTTATCATTGAATAAATTCTCGCGTACATTTATATAATTTCATTCATAGAAGGCCATAGAACAGCAGGTCCTTAAACCAAGATACCATGTCACTTACCCCTCTATTCTTTAGGTCAACGGGCAACGTGCCCTCATGAGTCAGCCTCCAATTCGCCCAAACACGGTCGACAATACTATCCATCCCAACAGTCCCCATAGACATAGTCTTGTCAAAACCGCCTCCACGGTTAATCAGACGTTTTAGGCCAAAGCTTCGGAGCAAACAGAACATAATTAAAAGGTCGTTAATAAGTTAATCAGTGTACATAGCTTCAGAATCAAGCTGCACGAAAGATCATGACTATCGCAAAGAGCGGATTCTTTATCGACTGGATTGCTCCTTTTAAGATATGTTATATATGTTACGCGGAATATGGCATATTTTTATGGTTGCGCGGTATTTGTGATACGGGTGAATATGCCATACTCACCTGTGGTATATGGCATATTCCGCAGGTAAGTATGGTATATTCTGCAGTGAATATGCAATACATTGAATTCTGTAAATAACCGATACTCACCTGCGGAATATATCACACACACTTGCGAAATAGGCCATATACCGCAAGTGAATATGACATACACCGCAGTGAAAACATGACACATAAAGCCTTGATTTGATTGATTACGAAAAATCGCCTCAAAATGTGAAACTACGCTTAATTGCCAATTGAATATAGTTACTGCTTCGAGTAGTAATATGAATATTATATAATATACTTATAGATATTTGTATCGTGTTTACCGCATTACAAGATAAACTATCAATGTTAAAAACTCACTTGTTTATTGCTATAACGTGATGAAAGTGTGGAGCCAGTAAACGGAACAGCGGATGTGACGGAGACAATTGACGGTTGGATACCATGGCAACAAATTCCATCAAAAAGTGAGTTAATGCTGAAATCAGAGTTCTTTACTGCTGGGTGGTTGTTTGGTAGAAACAGGAAAACACAACATAAAGTCTACGCTCTGTGAATATTTGTGTCCATTTTTACCCATTACCTTTGAAACCTCAGAAATCAATCAGACTTCTAAACTTGCCTCGATGATTCTAGAAGTTGTTTTTCACATTTCGCACATTATGGAGAGAATACGATTACAAATTAAATGTTTGATTCAGAATATTTTAAGGTGCCATGATACTTAACAGAAAATGACAAAACAGGAAGTGACAAACGATTTTGCATTTTTAGACATTTTTGAACAAAGATAACAGAGTTCTGTTTAAACCTCCAAACAATTCAACTAGTTCCACATACCATTTACAGGTCCAGGATCACAATGTTATTGTCAGAATGACCCTTAGCATGATGATATAACCTTTTCAGCCCTCTGAAAATGTGACTGAAAAATAGCTAAAAGTAGAAGGTAGGAAAGGTCACTAAACAGAATCTTTTGAATTTTTCAGAAAATGTGCCCAATATATTGCTCTAAATGATTGGATTTGATATCATTCATAGAAAAAGAAAGAAAATGAAAAAACTGATTTGAAAAGCGTTCCTTTATAGGACCGCATTTTTGTTTCAGACAATTTTCTTAAATTTCAAAGATTGTATCAGTTAGAGCATTATATGGGGCACATTTTCTGAAAAATTCAAAAGATTTTGTTCAGTGACCTTCCCTAGCTCATATTTTTAGCTATTTTTCAGTCACATTTTCAAAGAGCTAAAAATGTTATTTCATCATGTTTAGGGTCATTTTGACCATGCACATTGTGATCCTGGTCATGTAAATGATATGTGGAAATAGTTAAATTGACTGGAGGTCAAAACAGAACTCTGTTATCTTTGTTTAAAAAATGTCTAACAATGCAGATTTTTTTGTCAATTCCTGTTTCGTCATTTCCTGTTAAGTATCATGGCACCTTAACAGACATGAAATATGAAAGCAGTACCTAGATGAACGCCAGCTTGGTGGTAGGATGCGTCAGAGTTGTTAAACCACATTTTAGCCAACAACCAGGTGTGTTTAGGGTCAGATGGCAAGAATATCTGGAAATATGGGCACAACAGCGTATGTTATTCAACCTAAACTACAGTATGAATCGTGACTGAAACTATGCTCATATTTAATTTAAGTTTCACCTTACAATTTGTCAAAAAAACTTCATCTGTTTTGATCTGAGATAAAGATCTTATTGTCACTATACTCACAGGGTTAATATCCGAGGGCTCTTGAAATAGTTGAATGGCAACTGGCACCAACTTCAGGTTGTTGTCGACGTAGAATAAACCAAGGGGTGCACACAGCTTCAAAAATTACATAATTACAAAATTATAAGCCGCAAAAAAGTCCATGGTCCTATTCATTTAAGATATATGAGTTAACAGTATTATGTCAGCATCTATCTCTGATTTTAATTTAGGATCCCCGCCCAAAACGTCAACTGAGGTACAACCGGTAATATCATCATTGAATACCATGGCCCTCTCTTCTTGCTTCATACATTGCCATGGAATTTGGTATAGGATACTCTCGATGTAGAATCGGTGGAATCGACGGACGAATCAAATTCGCAATTACAAACACGTAATTTAAACGTCACTTCTCAAAAAAATCTCAACGAACTGCATAGCAACGCACAGCAACGGTGTAATAAACAATTTCTGATCGCAAAGTCTAAAGTAATCAATTTTTTATAACAGTTCCTACGAATTTTTATATATTTTTCGTGCGAAGAGATTCTTATAACATTAGAAATAAATATCTTATAAAATATGGTGAATTAAATCGGTAGGAAACACGGAAAAATTAATTTTTTAAAGCACGTCAGCTTATGGGAAGCCCCACCCCCTCGATCAGCAGGATTGGCACGGAAAATCAAAGCTCAATTTATAGCTTCTGGCTTGAGAGCGGTAGGTCTTGGGTTAGATCCCCGTACGGGGCATTAAAATCAGCACACTCCCTTTCAGGTCAAGTATCTTGCTCGGACGGAGGTATCCTAATACTGGATGAGCGTGGTGTAAAAGTGGTTTTGGTCAAATTTTTCTTCATGTTGGTTATTTGTGGTTTATTATTATACATTGATTCTGAAATCATTGGTGTCTAGTTTTTCAGCGTTTTGGAAATATTCAGATTTATACCCCCCTGGTGTAATTTTAAGGGGGGTACTTGGAAAGCCATATATAATTCCTAGAATATAGAGCCAATCATCTTGATTTTTCCAGGTAATCATGTACTTATCATGTCCTACCATTATGACAAGTTTCATTAAAGTTGATCAACTGGTTGCTATGGAAATGGAGATCATATGTTAAAAAGTACACATTTTCGTCAAAATGTAAGATACCCCACGAGACAAAACATATATTATTTTCATGAAATTGGAAGGAATCACCATGAAACCATTTTAGAAAACTTATTCAAAGTATATTTGATAATATTAAATCAACTGTTGTTTTATCTTATCCACAGAGTGGAATCTATTGCTGATGATTATATGGCAATGCAAGTAAATTTAGAAAGGGGACGTGGCACTTTTCCAAAGAATTCTTTATTTGTGTTCAACTTTTTGAAGAAAATAAGTTACCGTTTGTCCTGAAATTAAAAGATATTCTTCACATCATTATGTTTGACTATCATGGAAAATATCATCAGTGTTGGATTACTATGGTAAAACAGATTTATACCCCATTGGTATGATTTTAAGGGGGGGGGGGTACAATGAAAGCCATCTATAATTCCTAGAATATACATCCATTCATCTTGATATTTACAGGTAATCATCTACTTATAATGCACTACCACTATGACAAGTTTCATTAATGTTTAACACTTGGTAGCTATGGTAACAGAAATAATTTATTAAAAAGTACACATTAAGGAGATACTATGTATAATTCCTAGAATATTCAATTAATCATCTTGATATTTATGGGTAATCATCTACTTAGCATGTCTCACCAGTACGACAAGTGCCATAAATGTTGGTCAATTGGTTGCTATGGTAACAGTAATCAGTTGTTAAAAATTGCACATCAAGGTGGTACTATGTATAATTCCAAGAATATTTAATCAATCATCTTGATATTTACAGGTAATCATCTGCTTATCATGTCCTACCAGTATGACAAGTGCCATCTATGTTGGTCAATTGGTTGCTCTGGTAACAGAAATAATTTGTTAAAAAGTGCACATTAAGGGGATACTATGAAAGCCATGTATAATTCCTAGAATATTCAATCAATCATCTTGATATTAACGGGTAATCATCCATGTACATGTCCTACCAGTATAACAAGTACCTTCAATTTTGGTAATTTGGTTGCTATGGTAACAGAAATCATTTGTTAAAAGAGTACACATTTTCGTAAAAATCTAAGACTTATGCAACCTTTGACATTAAGCACATAATATGTTCATCATTTTGGGAGAAATAAGTAAGGAAACATTTCATAAAACTTTTCACATCGCATCAATCACAACAGTGGACGCATTATTGCCATCGCTGGTCATCAACGGATATGTTTTACACTCAAAGTAATACATGCTGTTGTTCTTTTTTATGTCTGCTGTTTTTTTTCAAATGTTCATTGTTTTTAGAATTAATTAAGAAGCATTTCCAGTATTTTTGGGTGTAATTAATTGGGTGTAATAGTTGTATATATCTCTTAGTTTGTTTATTACAAGTGACGTGGTAACTTGTTGATGGCAAAATAGAGCCAAATTGGCCAGACCAACTCATTCCACCTGATGATCTCATAGAAATATAGTCACATAAAGATTGCCACGGATACTTTGACAGAAGTAGACATTGAAAGATCTATGAATGAGGATTTTGATCCAAATGATGTAAAAGATGACTAAGTGAGATCAGCTCATAATATTTGCCCCGCGTTTATGAAATTTGTCATAGTGTAAGAACATGGTGAGTAGATAACTACCTGCCAATGATTGGTTAGATATTCTAGGAATTATATATGGCTTTCATAGTACCTCCCTTAATGTGTACTTTTGAAAAAAATGATTTATGTTTCCATAGCAATCAATTGTTACACATTGATGAAAATTGTCATGGTTGTAAGACATGATATATAGACGATTACCTGTAAATATCAAGATGATTGACTGTATATTCTAGGAATTATAGATGGCTTTCATTGTACCCCCATTAAAATCATACCAAGGGGGTATAAATCTGCATACTATAGTAACCAGTGAACCAACACTGATGAAACTTTCCACGATAGTCAAACATAATGATGTGAATAATATCTGTGAATAACAGGACAATTGGTTATTTATTTTCTTCAAAAATTTGGACACAAGTTAAGAATTCTTTGGAAAAGTGCCACGTCCCCTTTCTAAATTAATTTGCATTGCCATATAATCATTAGGAATAGATTTCACTGTATGGATAAGATAAAACAGCAGTTGATTTAATATCATCAAACATACTCTGAATAAGTTTTCTAAAATGTTTTTATGGTGTTTCTTCCCAATTTCATGAAAATAATATGTGTTTTGTCTCACGATGTGTCTTACATTTTGACGAAATTGTGTACTTTTTGACATATGATCTCCGTTTCCATAGCAACTAGTTGACTAACTTTGATTAAACTTATGACTTTTGTAGGACATGATAAGTACATCATTATCTGTAAATATCAAAATGATTGGTTGTAAATTCTAGGAATTTTACATGGCCTTCATAGTACCCCCCTCAAAATCAAACAAGGGGGTATAAATCTGAATATTTCCAAAACGCTGAAAAACTAGACACCAGTATTTTCAGAATCAATGTAGAATCATAAACCACAAATTACCTACATAAAGAGAAATTTGCTATTTTTCAAAACCACTTTTACACCACGCTCATCCAGTATAAGGTCGTTAAACAAATAATGCCTTCGAACAATCCCCTTTTCACCGGCCCAAATACAAAAATGCAAGTTTGATTCTTACTGTTCTGTTCTCGGAACATTTAATGCCTTCTAGAATTTTGAGGTCCATTATGTAGATCTTCTTGCTCTCCAGGCAGGCCTTGAGTGTTTGCCCTTCAAGGAATGGCTCAACCATCACCGGTGTTACGGGGAAGCTGAAAAGAAGAAGCATTTCATAGGATGCGAGTTAATCGTTATTTCAAAACTGATCATTTAGAGGCAACTCAAAACAAACTTTCCTTCTCCCCTCTAAGAAACACAGCTGTTGAAAACTTTTTGCCATATGTCCAAAATACTGATATTCTTGAAATTCTAATAGTGAGTTTGGCTTTTGAAAAATACCTAACGAATTTCAAAATGACCGCCAAGTTTTAACACATTTTGAAATACCACATATTGGCCTAATATTTAAAAAAAAATTCTTGAATGAGTTAAATCTGGCTACAAGTTTATTAAATATACATCACCATGTTGTCATGTACGGTTGTACTCTTATATTTCGTTCTGTGTAACCTACTTTTGGGGGATTTCCTGACAAAGACTTATTAATGTTGGGTTACAACCAGTTAACCGCTGGGAACCGAACTCGACATCTTTATGCCATCTCTCCAACCCCTTGAATAATAAAACAACGAAATTCATTGGGCATAATTTTTCTCAAGACCAGTGTTGTCAACTGTTTAATGTTATAGTAATGAATTTTTAAAAGGAAGAATTGTTGGTCTTAGTTGGCCTCAATGAACCTATAAGTGTTTTATTGTACCGTGTTGTTGGTTTAACAAAACACTATACTATATCCTCTGCAAAAGAAAAAACATGGACTCACGTAGGGTCTCTTAAAGATACATCCAAAGACATTTTGGAAATCTTCGAGCGTTTCAAATTTGGATGTCATAAACTTTGCAATTTTAGCCGGAAAACCAACCATCTTTCCCTTCTGTGTTAGGTCAAGCTGAAATTGTATTATAATAGATGTACATGTGATCAAAGTATATTTAAGACGAATACCCTTGTAACAGTAAAAGTTTCCAGGCACGTATTTCTTCTCCGGTTCATAAATTGACGATGTAAAATACTTTTTTCCAAAATGAACATTATGATTACACAGTCTATTAAACATCCAGTACAAAATTTGAAAAAAACTTTTAATAATTCAAATACAATTTCCTTTGACGTAAAAGCTGGACAAGTTGCTCCAGACCTTTTTCATTTCTTCAAACTAAAATCATAGTAATGATAATATAATCAAATGAATTAATTACTATAAGCTCAATCAAATCTAAAAGAAATATATAGAATTCAAAAAATGTATATGGGTTTAAATAGCGTAAGTTTCTTACCTGGTATTCCTCAATTGTAAATGCCTCATCACTTGGCAGGTCTGCGGCCTAAATTCAAATATCAACTCTCTCATATTTTATAACTTTACACACTGATTTGTTCGATAATTATTCTAGAAGAAAGCCAAGAGGGGGTTGTTTTGGAGTATATACAATGTTTTATTGCATAATATGTTGGTCTGGTGTGTTCTGATGAAGATTTGACAAATATGCAGTAATGTTACCGTGAGCAATTTTTTTCTGCAAGGTCAGCAGAATTTACAATATTCCATAAGTAGGGATTTTAAGAATCTAGTTTTAAAAACTTATATACTTGCTTTTACATGATTTTAGTGATTTCATGTCACATTCACATGATTAACTTTGAACTGAACCTTGAAACTGATAAAAATTAATGTCGTAATTAAGTGCTGAGTCGGGGGCTATAGTTATTTTTCTCATTTCAATTGATTTTACATATCTAATCAATTTACAACCTTGACGTTTTAAAGAACAAGGTTACTCTTTTAACTAAGATGTCAACTTTATTCGAAATATAATATGCTGATGTCAGCAAAATACTTCATCAAAATAGCAAAGCAGTCTTAAGCTTTAATAATGGCTAATATAAACAATTGAAATCGTATATGCAAAATATGGATTTATTAGCTAATTAACTCATTAGCAATTGGCACCAGAAGCTCTAAGGGGGGAGGGGGGGGGGGGTAGCAAAAGGCCGTAACAGGTTGAGTTTTTTAAAGGGGGGGGGGTAACAAAAGGCCCTCACAGTTAAGTTTTTCTCTAAAACTTTTTAAAGGCAACAGGTAGAATCTTCAAATTCTCAGTAGCTGGATCTAGAGATATAACAAATGTAAATATGAAAAAATCAGCAGAATTGTATGAAGGGTAATTAATTTATTATGAAGTAATCATCAGCTCCAAGAGACAATACCTTATTATATAAACTGACACTAACCCTACCACATTCAAACCAGATAAATATACAATCTTAAATCTAGTATGTTCAGAACAAACGTGGGAAAATACTCTATAACTAAGACAGGGTCAGACCTGTGGAACACTTTACCTCACAAAATTATTCATTTTAATACTCTTACCTTCAAAAGAATTTAAAATCACACTTGCTCAACAGTTAACATCATTACTTAAAGAGAGAATCAGATCCAGCATGCTGCCTAACAAAAAATTGTTTCAATTTTAGAATATTTCTGGCTTATGTCATTCCTTTTCATGTCTATTTTCTAAAAATCCCAAAAGTGTACACTTTATTTTAGGAAAACTAAAGATTTTTACAATAATGTATTATTTTCTATAAGAATGGTTACCATCCTTAATATTTGGGAGAATTTAAACATTTTCACCCATTTTTGTACTTTGAATCTATGTAACTTTACCTATTTATAACATATTGTGAATCTTTGGGAGATATTGTATTCTTTTACGAGTTTTGCTACTTGTAAATATATTCTATAAATGGGGGAGAGAGTTTGTGGGATATGACATCTGTCAGGTGTATTGTCCCAGAGTGCAACACCGATATTCTCTCCCATATATGAGCATGTGGTGATACTAAATTATGGTGGCATTGTCATTCGAAGATCAAAGAATCACAAAGTCAGTTGTGTTTCCATAGATTAAGCGCTAAAAAACTATAAATAAAGATCACAAGACATTTCATCAGAATATTAAAACATAGTATTTGCCCATTTAATTCGATTCTTGATAATAGTTTTTTTTCTGAAAAGTTACTAATTCACAATGACGCAACGATGTATCTTTTAGAATCAATATTTTATAATGAAGTGTAATTTTAGAATTTAAATCTTAATAAAATAGGATAAGTGTCAGAATGGAATGGATTACATTACAATTTAATAAATGAGAAAAGTAGAAATGGTATACTCTTTTATGATCAATTAGTTTTGGCTCATATGGACAAACTAGTGATAAAAATTAATGCCAACTTTACATTAAAAAGATAATCTTGCAACATTAACAAGACAACATGCCACACAGGTTATCGCAAACAAATGAATAGATAGGATTCAACCATTTACTGTGTTTATATATGTAGTGAATTAGTCCAGTTCGTATCTATAACAAGAGCAGGGTGTCTAGGAGCAAAATCGTTTCTTCAGAATATTACAGTTATACTAACTGGCCACAAGTCTGAATGATAGTTTTTTTTTCTGAAAAGATACGAATTCACAATAACAGAATGGGGTATCTTTTAGAATCAATATTCTATAACGAAGTATATTTTTAAAATTCAAATCTTAAATAAAATAAGATAAGTGTCAGAATGAATTGGATTACATATTACAATTAAAAAAAAGAAATGAAGGAACGAGACTCTTTTATGATCAATATTTAATCATGCTGAGTCTTGGCTCATACGGACAAACTAGTGACAAAAACAAATGCCAACTTAATTGACATTAAAAGATAATCTTGCAAGAATTAGCAAGACATATAGGCAATTGCAAACAATTTCAGACATAAGTGAAGATGTGATGATTGGATATTGTTCCAGATTATATAAGAATTGTATCCTTGACATTAATGTCTTGGTTTTATAACATTTTTGATATAATTACTAATTTCCCTCCTTGATCATGTAAATTACTGAATTAAATAATTTTAGTTGAATAAAGTAAAATATAAGATTTTATAAGCAATGTTGTTGTAATACTGAATGTGTAATTTCAAGTCTATCTGCTATTACATGTTAAAGATTATTTTTTGGGAAATATCTTGAAGTTATGAAATACTTGTATATCTTTAGGTTCAATTATATCAGGTGACAATAGATTAATAATACCACCTTTTGAAGTAAGAGTAAAATATAAGCTTGCATTCGTGAATGCAACTAACAGCTAGCGAATACCGGATTAACCTACTATTTTATGACCAATTCATTTAAATATGAATGGAATAGTGGCAGGTACTATTCATATCTAAATGAGTTGCCAATAAAATAGTAGGTTAATCCAGTAGCCAATGGCGTTAGTTGCATTCACGAATACAAGCTAAGACTGATATCATAGTGTATTATATTGCACTAATAATCTAATTGAGTTAATGTAAAAAAGGAATTAAAATTTATATGTTAATTAGTAAGCTAATTAATATGCATAAAAACACACTTGTTATACACTTCTTTTACCCCTATACAGGGGCGTAGGAAGGTGTAAATTCAACACTACGCCAAAAAATCCCGCCAAAAATATGAAACAATTGTGTCAAATCTTCTTTATCAAAACGCCTATTTTATTGTCATTTTATGGCAATAGAGATTTTAAGCTTGCAATGTTTTCACAACCTAAATGTGAACGGAAATAGTTAAGCGATGTATTTGTATGGGCGATTGGTAATACGTATAGGTTGGCGTTTCGATTTTATATGCAAGCTTAATATCCCTGATACCCTTTTTAATGTGCTTAAAATGTTCGAATGATTTTTATCATTTAAAATCACCATGGAAAGCCGATCTTTTAAATCTCGACACAAATCATCCTCACTTTTCTTATGTCTCGAACGATAAAGACGATCGATTTCCAAATAACAATGAGAGATTTTTAATCATTTTCGAATAATTGAATTGAGATATATATTATTGTCTGATTCCATCGTGTATAGTACCGTGCAATACGACACGTACAGATTAAAGAATCTAGCTTGATCAATTGATTTAAAGAAACGCATTCGTGATCAATGATACAATTAATCCTAATGTCTGCAACCTTTTTTATAACACTAGTTCGCAAGACCAAATAAACCTCCCACCACAAAGGTCAAATCGAGGTCAGCGTGACTTGGGGGGTGCCAAAAATGTTGTATTTCATAAAAACAATAATCTATTATCTTTCAAATGAAATAAAAATCTAGGTAATAGCTTTTCTAGAACTGAAATCAATGGAACGCGTAATTGAATAATCAACATTTTCAAGTTATTTTTGTCTTTAACAATCATTTTTCAAGAAGTACTACCAATAACAATCGGTGATTTAGTAAGAAAATAGATAATTGCTGACTTAACTATAATTTCTGTCTATGATTTTGCCTAGCAAAGGAATATAAATCGATATAGTGAAATTGAAAAATTGGGGGTAGGGGAGAATAAAAAAAATAAATCTAATTTAAAGAGGTTCATCATTATAATTAAACGATACCACAGTTTGCATAAGCATTACGGAACATGCGCAAACAATTGCAAAGGTATCCATCAAGTAGTTTTTTTATAAAAAACTGTTTTTCTCTCGTGAAGAGAACGAGAATCACGAATATTTGGCGAAATTTTATTTTAGTTTTAAAATCCATAAGATAGTCAGTCAATAGTGACTCGATTTTCATGAAATAAAGCATGTTGGTAAGAGAATTCAATCTGTTAATTGATTATTTGCCAAACAGAGCAATAATGATTACTTTGCATTTTCTACAGTATTAGAATTGTAGAAACAAGGTATTAACTTTCAATATTTTATTTTTCAAAAAGTGTCATTTATCTGTGGCCAAGGTTAGAAAAATAACAGAGGCACAAAAAACATGCAAAAGAGTACTATTAAAAAATCGAGCATATCATATGGTATCCACAAACATTTCTTTAGGCTAGTGTGCTCGAGATAACTTTTGCACAATACAATAAGAAAATATGAATAAAGAACATAGGTACATTATAAGCCTTTTTATTCTCACTTTTCAACACTACGCACTGGCGTTTTGGCGTACATTGTTCCTACGCCACTGCTATACTCATAATTGAAATACTAGATCGTATTTATTATCCCACCGAACGAAGTTCTAGAGGGATATAGGAAAGCCGTCCGTCCGTCCGTCCGTTCGTCCGTCCGTCCGTCTGTTTGTCCGGGCGATAACTCAAATACCGTTTCACGGATTTGATTCAAATTTTATAGGCTTATGCCTTATGAGTGTAGGACCTCTGCTCGAGAAGGAATTTTCAATATGGCCACAGAATTCAAAATGGCCGCCATTTTTCGTAAAAAATGTAATCTTTAATAACTCAAATACTAGTTTGCGAATTTGGTTCAAATTTTATATGCTGATGCCTAGGGACACAGTAGATATGTTCGAGTAAAAATTTTCAAGATGGCGGCTAGATTTCAAAATGGCGGCCATTTTCGTAAAAAAACTTAATCTTTGATAACTCAAATACCAGTGAACGGATTTGGTTCAAATTGTATATAATGATGCCAAGGGACACAGTAGATATGTTCGAGTTACAATTTTCAAGATGGCCGCTGAATTTCAAAATGGCGGCCATTTTTCGTAAAAAATGTAATCTTTAATAACTCAAATACTAGTTTGCGTATTTGGTTCAAATTTTATATGCTGATGCCTAGGGACACAGTAAATATGTTCGAGTAAAAATTTTCAAGATGGCAGCTAGATTTCAAAATGGCGGCCATTTTTCGTAAATAAACTTAATCTTTGATAACTCAAATACCAGTGGACGGATTTGGTTCAAATTGTATATGATGATGCCTAGGGACAAAGGAGCTTTGCTCAAGATGAGATTTTCAAGATGGCCACTGATTGTCAAAATGGCGGCCATTTTTCGTAAAAAAACGTTATCTTTGATAACTCAAATACCAGTGAACGGATTTGGCTCAAATTTTATATGATAATGCCTATTGACACAATAGATCTGTTCAAGAAAGAATTTTCAAGATGGTGGCTGAATTTCAAAATGGTAGCCATTTTTCATAAGAAAATACGTAATCTTTGATAAGTCAAATTGTATATGCTGATTCCTAGAAACACAGTAGCTCTGTTCGAGAAAACATTTTTAAGATGGCGGCTGATCTTCAGATTGGCTGCCATTTTTCATTTTCATTTTCGTAATCTTTGGTAACTCAACTGCCGTTCGGTGGGATTTGCTACTCCGTGGAGTTGCTGTTTTTTTAGTTCTACTCTAATTTAGGGTTATGTTATTCAAGTGAAATTAACTCCACTTGTAACACATTTATCTTTTATAATAGAATTGATTCCATATGCTGCACATTCTTAGCTTTACAATGATACCAAATCTCTGTTCTACCAAAGGTGAACCCGTTTTAAAAATCAGACAATCGTTACTGAACTAAGTTTACATTGTTCCGGTTTAATGACTTAATTTGCATAATTACTGTATTTTAACTCCATTTAAATACATGAATACTACCAAATGTGCCACGCCCCATTTCAGAAATATTACAGAATTTTAAAAAGACAATAAAAAAAAAACGCTCAACCTACCACAACTGCATTTTTGTCCAGGACATGTCTAACTATCAAAAAATGCAATAAAACATTGTATATACTCCAAAACAAGGTTCAGTGATAAATCCTTAGTTTTCATCTGTATAAACATTTTAAATATGATAAGTTTAGGAAATATAATTGCCCAGAACTTTTTTCTCAAATATAAATGAACGAATTGTATAACGAAATATAATAGTAAAAGCAATAACAAATTTGGGTCGTTGTGTGGGTGGATGGATCTTTTCGTCCTTATTAGCTGCTTGTCAATCTTGGCATTAAATCCTGTTGAACAGGATGATACCTTTTTTTCGATTCAATCACGCATATGCCATTAAAAATCATTTGAAAATGTTTCTGTGAGTATCGTTTTTTCAAGGGCCACACTTTTCGAGAGTCAAGCTACAATTTATTTTATTTGAGTATCTTACAATAAATCAGATGATATGATTATTTTATGATTAATATGAAGTTCAACATCATAATGTTATAGAATGTGTATACCTGTATGTACAACTCATACAAAGACATGTCTTAAAGCAGATATGAAATGGTATTTTTAACCTAAAGGAATCAATATAATTTTTTGATAGATGTATTTGGACATGTTTTCTAATCAGTAGTGTGAAAACTATTTCACTCTAACGATCGTTTTAGCTGCTTAATAAGCAATATTCAAATTGGTTGTGACGAAATTGGCCCCCACGTAATCTCTCACTGCCCCCACGTGGCCCGTTTTGGTCCATTAGATCATGACGTCATAATGCCAAAATGTTTTGTTATTTGTTTACACAACAATCCTATGGTTGCCGTGACGTTGTGATTACTATGGAACCAATAAACAAAAGCTATAATTTGTATCAAGGAGGATTGGCTCCCAGAATGCAACACCGATATTCTGCAAAACAATCACCTAGCGATAGCTTTGTTGGAGAGTATCGGGTCATTCTCCATGCAGTCGTACAAATTATACAGACACGAATAGCAAATGACGCATGCGTGGAGATTAAAGAATATCGAGTTGGAACCCTGGCTTCCAATCCTCCTTGAATTTGTATATGACGTTACTAATCACGTGGGGGCCAATTTGATGTATCAGTTTTATTTCGTTATCTATGACCGTTAGCAGTTATCTAACATTTATTTTATAATGGCTATCGCAAGAACTCTACGGTGGGCTTACAATAGAGAAAACCGCATTTTTGTAGCTGCAAAAAAAGCTATTTCAGTTGTCCTTTAAGTGAATGCAGAATGATTGATTTGGGAAACTGAAATGAAAGAAACTTTTTTATGAATATATGTATAGGAGGCTCTCTGGTGTCCTATAGATCTACCGATGTCCTGGCGGGTGCGGTACGGTCATCGGCAGATAGCCTTGCGATACCCGTGCGATATCCGTGCGATATCCTACAGATTTAGTTGTTTGCGCCTGTACTATAATGTGACCATACTCACGGCGAAATCAAGACTTCGGGGAAAAGTCACCGGCGCCCGGTCGATTTAGAAATCGGCCGATGACTACTCATCGGCCGGCGCCCGGCGCTTTTGTGACCTAGGCATTAGATGGGGCCAACAATTTTAGGGGCTTGTTAGTTTTCAGATCCGCCCCGATTGTATTTCATTGTATTGTATTGTATTTATATTGTATCATATTGAATTGCATAATATTGTATTGTATTTCATTGTATTGTATTGTATTGTATTGCATTGTATTATATTGAATTGCATTATATTATATTGTATTTCATTGTATTGCATTGTATTGTATTGTGTTGAATTGTATTGTATTGCATTGTATTGTGTTGAATTGTATTGTATTGCATTGTATTGTATTTTATTCATTGTATTACATTGGATTGTATTGCATTGTATTATATTGAATTGCATTATATTGTATTGTATTTCATTGTATTGTGTTGAATTGTATTGTATTGTGTTGAATTGTATTGTATTGCATTGTATTGTGTTGAATTGTATTATATTGCATTGTATTGTATTTTATTTCATTGTATTACATTGGATTGTATTGCATTGTATTATATTGAATTGCATTATATTGTATTGTATTTCATTGTATTGTATTGTGTTGAATTGTATTGTATTGTATTGTGTAGAATTGTATTATATTGCATTGCATTGTATTTTATTTCATTATATTACATTGGATTGTATTGCATTGTATTATATTGAATTACATTATATTGTATTGTATTTCATTGTATTGTATTGTATTGTATTATGTTGAATTGCATTATATTGCATTGTATTGTGTTGAATATTATTGTATTGTATTTTATTTCATTGTATTACATTGGATTGGATTGCATTGTATTGCATTTTGTTGTATTCTGTTGTCTAGCATTGTATCGTATTGCATTGTATTGTATTGCATTATATTGTATTGTATTATTTTGTATTGAATTGTATCGTATCGTATTGTATTGTATTGTATTGTATTGTATTGTATTGTATTGTATTGTGTTGTATTGTGATGAACTGTATTGCATTGTATCGTATTGCATATAAATTGTATTGTATTGTGTTGAATTGTATTGTATTGCATTGTACTCTATTGTATTGTATTGCATTGTATTACATTGTATCGTATTGTATTGAATTATATTGTATTGTATTGCATTTCATTGGATTTGTTGTGTATTGTATTGAATTGATAATTGAAGGCTATGAATTTAAATTGACACAAAATTGGTGAACTGTACCATGGGTGGAAGGCCTTCTCGGTGAACTTTCAGCCGATATTTTCCTTGTTTTGTTTCAAGTTCCTTCCTTCGCTGTTGCTGATTTTTATCAACTTGCGGCAATACGCAGTCATACTCTTGTAGTTTGAGTCGAAGGTTTGCAGGTACCCAGCGATGTATCGGGAAAATACTCTTATCTTTATCCCTGCAACGTTCCACCATGACTGTTTCGACATACCTAATAAAAATGTTGACATAACAAACAAACAAACAAACAAACAAACAAACAACTGTGTCAACAAACATGAAGTACAAACCTAAAATGTGGTGCAGTCAGTTTTATTTGCTCTATATATAGCAAGTGCAATTATACGACATGTATAATTGTTTTTGCTATATATAAAACAACATCTTTGACCAAAATATCATTAATACATATATTTTTGATAACTACCGAAGTGATGTCAAAAAAGTTGTCCCAGGGATTATAACAGGCCTCGAAAATTTTGCACATTTCCATTGAGGCTCATTATATGTCCCTCACCTGTCAAATCCCGATTTAAATCGGGAGAAATGCCGATTTTTTTTATTGCTCATCCCGATTTATTTTTCAAAATCCCGATTTTTTGTAAAATATCCCGATTTTAAGAAAATAATCCACTTTTTCGTAAATTATCCCGATTTTTTTTCATAAGATATCCCGATTTTGTGTTCAAAACTCCCTATTCGTTAACGAGACATCCCGATTTTCAGTAAAAACTCCAGATTTTTAATTGATACCCTTCCAATTTTCGTTCAAAACTCCCGATTTGTTAATGAGATGCCCTCGCAAAAATTAAAGTATACGACAGTTTCTTATTTGAAACCAGAAATTAATTTAATCGATCATTCTGAGACTGAGATATTCAATACAACGTACGGAACGCATGGATACGTTTTTATTGACAGTATTCTTTGACTTCAGGTATAACACAAACACGTATACATGCTTTATCACAAATATAATTGATTGTGTGAGGACTAGATGTAGATTACATAATTATTTCTGATATTTAACTATTGCAAGTAATGTGCTGTGATATCCAAACGAATAATACGGAAAACCATGATCAAAGCTTGGTTAAATTGCAGGATCATAACGTCAAGTTTTGAGATTGTTTCACATTAATTCTTAAAATCATGATGTGTTACTTGGTTTAATGCAGATGATATCTCATGGATATATTATTTCATAATAAACATACATAGTAAACGGCCAAAATGCAATTCGAATACGTACTTACCTACCTAATTACCTATGTTAACCCCGATTTCCTCCCGATTTTTATTGTAAACTCCCGATTTTCTCCAAATTATCCTGTGTTGTAAACCCCGATTTCCTCCCGATTTTCATTGTGAACCCCCGATTTCTCCCGATTATCCTAATCAATCCCGATTTTCTCCCGATTATTTTTGTGAACCCCGATTTCATTGTGAACTCCCGATTTTTCTTTAAAAAATCCCGATTTTCACCCCGATTTTTCTTTAAAAAATTCCGGCTTCTCCCGATTTTTAAAACGAATCCCGATATTCATTTTTTTACTTGGCAGGTATGTCTTCTTATCAATCTTCAAAAAACACCCTATACCTTTACCCACCCTATGTATAGTCTGTCACGTGACCTTATGGATGATGGGTGGGCGAACCGTTCGCGAGTCTTTCCACTTCAGGTTTATGATGATACTTTTAACATGGTTTTAGACTTTGTATCTCTGTACCATCAATGTCTAAAGACGATTTAATTCTCCAAATATCTCTTTCATGCGATTAAGAGAAATTCGCTTTTTGTGTCTCGGAAAACGATGTGTGTGCGATCGAATCGAATTTCAGCCTGACAGGTATACCACTCCTTTTTCAGAAATGTGCCCGTTTCTGTTTTTTTAAGAGTCAATATATTGGCTTTAGAAATCTGCAGTGTCAGAAAATTCCATAATGAACTTTTGGAGAATAAGGACACTTTAGTAAAGCCATATTGATAGCAGTTTATAATGGCGGTCAATGGGGATTCAAACGCCAGTATCATTGGAACTAGGCAAAATCCAGGTTGTAACCCTTTTTATTTTGAAGACATTAAAGTTATCATGGTTACATACTAGGAGGATTGACTTTATTGCTCTTGAACTGTCCTGCAGATTGATGAATAGTCATTTCTAAGGGCGATATAGTGAAATATTGGACCGAGGGCCGAAGGCCCAAGGTCCAATATTTCACTATATTGCTCGCAGAAATGACGTTATTAGTATTATTACCACCGTTAACGACCAGGACTGAAACAGCAAGAAAATCTTACGCATTGAACGATATCTAATTTCCCGGGGAAAATTGCCGGTTCAGAATATATTCTAGACCGGTCCATATGGACCACCACTATGACGTCACACATTTCTCAGGTCGATATAGTAAAATGAATGCCTTCTAAACTAGCACTAAAACCCCTAGAACTGGCCCGGCAAGGTGGTAATAATTAACATTGGGCTCAATGGAAACATGGAAAATTTTCTAGGCCTGTACGTTATTATCCATGGGTCCACTTTTTAACACCACTTCGGTGGATAACAAAATATATGACAGTTCTATATATATATAGCAATTGCAATTCAATGGTTTATATTACCATAATAGTCCATTCGTCATTTTCTGAACGTATGAATGTTTAGAAATACGAATCATTAGGGGCTTATGAACTGATTTAGCTTGGTTGCCAAAAAAATAACTTTGGGGAAAAAATTATGCAACTATATCTACATGTATCCCCATTAATGCATTGTAACATACTTGATGGTATCCAGATGCTAAGTCAATAGTTAACCACTTGTTAACCCAATGCGCCCTTGCTGAATTAGCCTATATAGTTTTTTTCTAAGCACACTAATTTGGCAACCAAGTTTAATCACTTCAGAAAACCCTTATTATCATAAATTGACCATAAAACATCGTATTTTTATTTATTCAAAGGTTCACTATATGATGTATGGGGGTGACAAATGGACTATAACTGCACTGAGAAAGAGTCAAGTGACCGATATCAGTTGAGCAGGTAAAAGATCCAATGGGGCCAAAAATGCTATTAGAAAGCTCATTTATCAATATGTTTCTACTCAAACCATTTAATCTAAAAAAAATTATTAAATAAGAAATGTCGTGGATTAAGAATTCCACGATAATCTCAAATTATGTCTATTCAGGTATTTGTTGCTCTGGTGTAAAATTTTATTTCTAGCGCAGTTCGGATACTAAATTAGACTAGTTAGTTATTTACCAAGTGTCATCTAAGTCGGTATCATCCCTCCAAAGTTTTATTTGGTTGACGTGTTCGAGATCTTGGCGACCACTTTTAACGGAATAACACCCTTTTTGACCCGCCTCAAAGTCATTTTGCCACCAAATGTCAAGATGTATGACTTGCGACTCCCTCTCGTTTATATCAATCAGTGAAATGTATACCTGAAAGTACCAAATCCACAGAGAACTATTTACATTCAAATTCTTATTTCTGCGTATTCTAGTGTAGATTTAGATGAGTAAAAACCACAACGCTATAAAATGTATGTAAATAGTTCTCTGTTATCCATACATCATCTTTCTTGACGGTATAAATATTTTTCAAATAAACACAGGGCACGTACCAAATTAAGCGTGATAGTTGAACGCGCGGGGTACGGTACAACGCGAGGGTGATGAAATGCAGAGCAAACATATGTTTTCATCAAGATATTGGCTAGTTCCTAGATATTGTTATATACGTAGTGTAAATGTATGTAACAACATCTTAGACAGTAAACTTGACGGTGAATTTCATGGTTAAACCTCCACATATAGTATACGGTATAACGAGCGGAAACGGCAAGGTACAACACAAGGAAATTTGCATTATACCGTATCTCACCCGCGCTATATAGAAGTTATTTAATGGAAGGTTTTTGATGCAGGGTATCCGAGGGAAATACAATATATCTACCCGGGGGACCGTAGGGACCGATGGTTGATATAGTGTATTTACCGAGGGATATACCCTGTATCAAAAATCGAGCATTCAATAACTGTTTTATCCTATACTTAGTAGATTATGAGAATTAAATATGCATTGAATGTTAGGGAACCCTAATGTAGTAATTACAAACGATAATTGCAATCAAAACATGAATATTTTATCTCAATTTAAAGTCCTCGACAATTTTTGTTTTTTAAAACTCAACAGGTTTTAACATTTAACAGTGTATGAAATAATATTTATCAAATACTGGGAATTCAAAAAAGCACCGAAAGAGATTGCTGATGAGCGGGTGATATATATATCACCCGCTCACCTCAGATATCGATTATATCCCCGCATGTTATTTTCCTATAACACTACTAAGTATTGGATAAATACCGTATTCTACATACTGAATGTTTTTGAAGGTAAACATGAAATTCACTGTCAAGTTCACTGTCTAGGATATTGTTACATTCACATTTAGATACTAGACAATATCTTTTTGAAACGATAAAACATCAGTTTAATCAAAATTCACCACGCTCGTGTTATACCGTTCCCCCGCACGTTTACCTGTCACGCTTAATTTGGTACGTACCCTGTGATGAAGGTGGACGGACAATCAATTTGTTTTTAAAGATCAGAGATTATGACGAACTTCGATCATTGTTGCCATCTTGATATTAGCCTGAAACCTATGGTATCTAGACTTTAAGTGATACAAAACGTGATTGGTAATAGATATTTGAAACACATGACAAACGTGATGTTTTTAGTACTGACCTTCGAAGTTGATAAAAACTGCCTATTTTCTTGTTTGAAATTTGAAAAAGTTCTTACGAGACCAATATGTTAAATCATTTGAACTCCTCCGTATAAAACAAAAATACTCAATCCCTTTGAAGTGGTATTTATTTCTCCAAATCTATCTGAATTTTGAAAAATCCAACAATCTCTCAAAACAGCAATAATGCACTCAAATAAAAATTTTGATCTTACATTTCCATCTGTTCCCGCTCCATTTTTACTTCCGGTCTTCACGTGTACTGTATAATCAGCCATCTTTATTATTTCAAATTAATAGGGTTGCCCTTCTACTTACATCAAGTCAAACAGTATATTGTTAAGCAGTTGTACATTTTCCTTTTCAGATGCTTTTCACGTAGAGCGATTTGCAATATGTTTTATAGTACGTTGTTTAACAAGATCTGTGCCAAGTCAATTTTACGTTCCGAGGCTTTGGCTTAGAAATTGGCAATAAGCCTTCATTTTCCATCCGACTGTATCAGGTAGAGATAGAGATGTCAACCCGAAACCAAATCTCAAATTACAAAATTGTCGCATATTTTAACAAGTTGATCAGTGTTATTCACACGTCCGCCGATATGGGTTTACCTTTGAAACGATACAGGAAATACCAAAAACCTTTTTGGGCTCATAATCTTACAATATATTAGAAAAAAGCGTAATAGATCATGGCACACGTGGCAAAACGCAGACAAACCACGCGATGGGACGATATATACTAGTTACTAACACAAGTGCGATAAAAAAGGTTTCTTCAAAGAATACCTAAAGCGCAGTACAAAAGAGCATGGGTTCCAGAAAGAGGTGTAATATTTCTATTCGGAACAAACATGGCGCGACAGATTCGAATGAGGTCCGGCCTAAGTACACAGTTATATCCATCCGCTAAATGGAGGGGACGGAAATCTATGTTTAAAACTGTGAATATAGTTCCTAAAAGTACTCTGTAGCAGCGCCATCTTGAATGAAAATGTGCTAGTGAAACATGTTTATTGTTGATATGTTAGGTATGTATTATGATAAAAATAATCATTAAAAATGAACATGTTTTAAGAATTTCGGAACATTTTGACATGTACTGGTTGACCAGATTCATACGCGATTTCTTAGAAATGTGAATAGATGGCGGAAACAGCAAGTCAGAACTTTTGATTTCTATGACTAAATCTTTTTCAAATTTTTATCACTGGTAGGGGAGATATTGTGGTATACATGGTTGATTTTCTGAAATCTTGGATTGAGAAATATAAGTTCAAAGGAAGAGGTGCGATTATTGGCAAATATCCCTATGGTCAAAATGCATCATTCTTAGGTGTAACATGAAGAATAGAATGTCATATAATCACGGTGTTATAGCATGACGGTTACGTCAAGGCGATTTGCAACATTTTGGAGAAAGGGTCGATGGCAAACACTGACAGGACCCGGGTTTCTATAACACGTGCTAGAAACACGTACTAAAATAGTCTCGCAACCAGTGCTATTTACTGAACGAAACGACACGGAAACCCCGGGACAGCGTCCTATCAGAGTATTTATGGATAGGACCCCCGTATGACCATGCTATCAGTTTGAATCTATCATTAACAAACTTATGTAACAGGCCCGTAGCCAGGACCCTCTACCATTGCCAAAAATGCTTTCAAAACCATGCAGTTTTCACCATTCTGAGCACTTTTTCAAATGGTTTTGGTCATTTTCGGGCCATTTCAAAAGTGAATCCCTTGGATTTCTTTAAAATCGACCCCCCCCCCCGTCAAATGCCGGCTACATCCCAGATTTAAACTTAAAACAATAAAATGCTGTATAAAACCCAGGGGATATATCATCCTCCGACTCATTTCTCCTGCATCCCTTGACCCGTACTTAAATAGTCTCGAAACCAGTGCTATTTTAACTTTTGCCGGTAGAGGCGCCATAAACTGAACGAAATGCAAAACACTCTAAACCCGGGATGTAGCATCCTTTGGTATTCATGAATTGGATTAATTGCCCGACCTTTTACCTTTCTGTCAATTTGAATTCATGCCGATAAAGGCTCTCAAAATAGAATAAAATTTGTTCTCGAAATTCAAAGATGAATTGGCTATTGCAATTAGTTGGAGTCCTTATGTGTTCAAGTTTACGTTTTCAAAGGTATTTGGGATTACAGATGTAGATGAGGTTTTAATTAATGTTATAATTTCTGATAATAGCTGGCCTTGAACTTCATTGAAGTATTTGGAGTTGATGCTGTATTCAAGTCTGGATCAAATAAACTAATAAAGAAAGTTTGATGTACTGATTTATTTATTTCTATTGCAAATAACTATTTACACATGCTATTTCAAGGTCAACCCATGTGACTATTCATTTTATCAAGCGATTTATAAAGTTTTATAATTATGCATATACCTGTTGACTCACTTCAATCCTGAACATTAACAAATTTTATCTCCATTTCTGGATGTGGCTAATTCCTATTGTCCCTACTGTGGACTAGTGACAATATATATTTTGCAAAAGCCAAAAATGTATGCATTCAGTATTGAAACATCAAGTACATTGTACATCGATCACAAATAAAGACACATTTACATATATTCCAATAAATTCAAATACTGTAAAACCTGTAAATAGTGAACACCTATTGAGCCACAAAAAGTGTTCACGATAGGTATTTTCTAACTAGAGGGGATTATATACAGGAGTCGATGTGAAATCTATCTTAAGTGGTGTGCACTAAAACAGGTTTTACTGTAGTATATGAGATATAATAAAAAATGTAATACATATACCTGTAAACCATATTATATCTAATGAGCGCACAATTCCAATGAGTGCAAATGTGACTTTCTTATTGAATTTTGTCTCAATATTAACACATTGATTTTGATTAACAGAACTGATTGATATATTATAGTGAGTGATGATTTTCAACATGTTTAATGCAGATAAAAATAGTAGCTGTAGAGTATGAAAACCTAAGTGATCACAGCTAAAAGCATCATCGTCGATATTTTTCTCAATATCATACCCTTGAGTTGGCAATAACACCACAGAAAATGCACCGATTCAGGTATGTCCACATAAACTAAAATGCCTACATAATGAATACTGCAATTACTGGTTAAATTTGACAAGAAAAAACAATTTCCACAACCCCATGATTAAATGTCAATGAAAGCCCTCAAAAACTAAAGAATACAAAACACCAGAACCGCTGCTTCTTCAATTTTTGAATTTTTAGAAGAAATCCAATGTTTACCAACAACAGACGCCTTGTTATTCTCAGAGGCTCACTGTGCAAGAACCATTAATTGAATATCTTAAAGATCATCCAAATGTAATGAGCTAACCAATCTCCAATTTTTATGTATGATAAATCCTGTATTGAAATAACAGTATTCATATTTATTCGCCAAGTAGAAATCTTATACTCTCCACCATTTTTATTGGGGCACCAAAATTCATCCATTTAAGATTTCCCTTATTAAATGACTATATGTACTTTACAAAGTTATTGCAAATGAATATCTTTACATGAAGTTAACAAGGCATTTCTACAAAAGATTGTTTGCACACATTCAGTGTAACCTTGTAACAAACACCGATTTCCATCTAAATAACACTCTGACAGAGACTATAAAAATGTATTAGCTATCAAGAGTGATATTTTTCACCAAATGTTTTCGTAAGTACTATAAATTCAAATACTTCTGATCAATTTACTTAATAAATTCTACTAACCACTATTTCATCAATATTTCGATAGCTTGCGCACAACCAAAGCAGCAAGACAAAAGTATTTTCCTGTATACTACCAGGCCATTGTCCCAATGAACATTAAGATGATTTTGAAAAGGTGTACTTTTTGTAACACATAACAAACATGTAGAGAGCTTCTTCATCTGTAAACACAAAGCTTCAAAATCATCCCTGTCATACAGTTTTGTTATTATACCTCCAACATCAAGCGATAGTTCTTCTGTTATCATGAACTGACAACCCCGAGAGCCTCTTGCTGATGTTCTGACTCATGTTGTTGTAGAACCTGATGGTGTTCTGACTCCTGTTGTTGTAGAATCTGGGAATATTCTGACGCATGTTGTTGTAGAACCTGGGGATGCATTGCTCTGACTCATGTTGTAGAACCTGATGATGTTCTGACTCAGGTTGTTGTAGAACCTGATGATGTTCTGACGCATGTTGTTGTAGAACCTGGGGATGCATTGCTCTGACTCATGTTGTAGAACCTGGGGATGTTCTGACTCATGTTGTAACCTGGGGATGTTCTGACTCATGTTGTTGTAGAACCTGGTGATGGATATTCTGACTCATGTTGTTGTAGAACCTGATGATGTTCTGACTCATGTTGTTGTAGAACCTGATGATGTTTTGACTCCTGTTGTTGTAGACACCGATGATGTTCTGACTCATGTTGTTGTAAAACCTGATGATGTTCTGACTCATGTTGTTGTAGAACCTGATGATGTTGTAGAACCTGATGATGTTTTGACTCCTGTTGTTGTAGAACCTGATGATGTTTTGACTCCTGTTGTTGTAGAACCTGATGATGTTCTGACGCATGTTGTTGTAGAACCTGATGATGTTTTTACTCATGTTGTTGTAGAACCTTGGGATGTTCTGACTCATGTTGTTGTAGAACCTGGGGATGTTCTGACTCATGTTGTTGTAGAACCTGATGATGTTCTGACTCATGTTGTAGCACCTCGGGATGTTCTGAATCATGTTGTTGTAGAACCTGGGGATGTTCTGACTCATGTTGTAGAACCTGGGGATGATCTGACTCATGTTGTAGAACCTACAATTCACAATTTACAACTAGAAATTGGCAACTCCAAGGCGTAGGGAATCCCAACGAACATATATAAATCATGAACTGTACAGTCACAATGTAATATTTACCATCGCACTCTTCCCTTCAATAAATAGATCATTGTAGTATCATATCTCTAAGTTATGGCCTATTCCAGCCATTTTTAATTTTCTGAGGCAAGAATCAGAAAAACAATGCCATAATTGTGATCTACTCTAAAATGCCTTCAGCTTTAGTATAATATAGCCATACTTCTAAGATGAAGAAAATTGAAAAGGTTTAATGGTGATTATAAATATGATCTTAAACAATGCTGAATGACTTAGTTTTTAACATTTGTTTCGATTAACATTTTTGGCTCACCCTGTGCCTCAATTGTTTCTTATTTCAAGTCATATAAAGAGTTAGTTTAAAAATTGCATAAATTGTTGGACTCTGAGACATATCTTCAGTGTTTAATTGTTTTTCCTCAAAATCAGTGTTCAAATGCTCACTTAATAAGCATCATTTCCCAACTTTTTGGAATAAAGATACTCATTCTCACCTGATCTGTGCTGTTACCATACTGTGACAACTCCAGGAGACAGCTCTCTAATGTGCCC